ATTTAAAAAAAAACAAGTCAATATAGGGAAATTAGAAAAGACTGATTTCCAATAACAAAATTTTAAATGCTTTTTCTAGGTTGTTTTAGCAGTGAGTAAAGGAGCTATGGCTGTAAATACAACTGTAATAAAATTTAACTTTTTTTTATTGATGTTTAATGACAGTTGAGAGCAAGATTTATGCAGGTGCTTGTGTATTAAGTACTACTTTTGTCAATAATATATCTGTAGCACTTACAAATCAGACTCCTTGTTTGAATTTGGTTTGGTTTTACTACCGCTATAATTCTGGCTGTTGTTTTTATTGTTTTTGTTACCATTGGTCAATATGCTAGATACCCACATTTAAAAATATGTACCTTATTAGAGCACTAGCTATTTTAACAATAAGGTATTTGGGGTTTTTTTTTTTGTCTCTTTGGTACATTTCATATTTATACTATGGTGAGGTAAAATTGTTTTTTAGCCAGCTTATATGTGTGCTAACCTGTTTCTCTTCTAAAATCTACTGAAATTTGATTTCTTCTAATTATCAAAGTTTAAATGTCATGCAGATTTTCTTTTCACTTCTTATTTGTTCTCCATTCTCTTTGAGTTGCCTTCAGATATTTGTATGGTGTATAATTGTATTACTGTGCAAATATTTTACATTTCTCAATGGGTTATAATCTTATTTTAGGAAGTTGATAAAGCATATTTATATTTCTTTGTGGACATTAAATAAGCAATTAAGAAGAAGGAATATAACAGCACCACCTCATCAAATATAAGGATTTCTTAAATAGAATTTTAAAGAAAAACTATTTCTACATTCTTTTTTTTTTTCACACATGTATATTTTTTTGGTTTCTGGTCACAGTTACTGCACTTACATTTCTGGGTGAGTTTTGTTGTTGTTGTTCTTCCATAGGTATTCCAGAATCTTAGATTTTCCCATAAAATGAATCTTAGGTTCATTAGTGAGAGAAATGGTACAAAATTGGAAAGTTCTTAATAGAATAAAAATTAAATGTACATAGTCTAACATGAAGTAAATGAGATAAAAGAATGTTGGTAAGTTTGAGGTGTAAACATTGTGAGAGTATTAAATATATATACATGGGGGGGAAGGGGAGAGGGAGGGAAACAGTAAGGGAAGGAGAGAAAGAGGGAAAAGGGGTATGGAAGAAGACAAATATAAATGTTAATAGAGCCTCTGTAGCTTGTATTTGGTGTAAAATTCTGACAGATGATGAAATTTCCCCTGTGTGTCCAAGTGGCACAGACAAAATAAATATGACAGTTGGGAGTCCACTAAAGTGTTTTCTTCTAAACATATATTATGATCATTAGGACTAATTTGTTTGGGGAATGTATAAATAAATACATTAATATCATAGGCTTTTTTTCCTTTGAAGCCTCAGCTTCAGTATGGCTGCTTTGGCACTGACTCAATGATGCTGAGGAAGCAGTATCTTTAGGTGAACCCACAGTTCACTGGTGGCTCAGACAGTGAAGAATCTGCCTGCAGTGCAGGAGACCTGGTTCAATTCCTGGGTTGGGAAGATCCCCTGGAGAAGGGATAGGCTACCCACTCCCGTGTTCTTGGGCTTCCCTGTCTGTGTGCAATGCAGGAGACCTGTGTTCAATCCCTGGGTCAGGAAGATCCCCTGGAGGAGGGCTGGCAACCCACTCCAGTGTTCTTGCCTAGAAATTCCAGAGAGAGAGGCGCTTGGAAGGCTGCAGTCCATAGACTTGCAAAGAGTCAGATAGGATTGAGTGACTTTCACTTGCTCCATTCCCAAGAAAGTCTGAGTAGTCTCATTCGTAAGACACATGTGGGCACAGAGCCTGATATAACAAAAAGATCTTTTAAGCCCTTGTCCATATGCTAGATTTTGTCTGTGGACATCTTTTGTCCAATACAGTGTTTTTCATTTCATTTCAGCTGTTTGTTTATTTAAGATTATAAAGAAGTTGAAAGATTTTACCTAGAAGATTCATTATCAACTTCTGTTGAAATATCAGAAGCGTGGGCAAGACTGAACCCACATCCCACAAGGCAGCAGTCTACTGGCTCAGAGCATCCCTGACTCCTTCTGGTGGCCCAGGCATTCTCCCGTGACCCCGGGTCGATTATGGCCTCCTCATCTGCCTGGCGTTTCTAGACACTGGTGTTTCTACTACAAGTTTGCAATCTAATAAATTGTCTGCCAGCCCACTTCAAAAGAAGATGGTGAAAGCAGAGGAGGAGAACCTCATTGTATTATGTAGCAGAGGAGGACAACCTCATTGTATTATTTAAAAAGTCTCACTATCCAGTCACATGATCACTACTTACTTACTTTGTACAAGGATAAAATGAACATTTACACCCTCTGAGACTTTGATGTAGCTATTTCATTATTTAGAAACAGAAGGCTTTGAATAGAACCAAACAGAATTAGGGGATTAAAGGAAGTGTATGGCACTAAACAAGGATGAAACATCGGGACCTACCAGGAATTTGTTTGAGACAAATTAAAAGCAAAAAAAGTAAACAGTTTAAGTAAGAAAAAGTTAATTAGATTCCCACAATGTTTTCAGTCACTGTCACTCAATTTATTATTAGCATTAGCAGGGAGGAAATATATAACCAGCATTTATTATCCTGAGAGCAGCCTTTCAGTACTGTCTATGTTGTTAATTCTTGACAGTACTTTATTCGGTTTGGATTATGTCAGAAGTTATCACAAGGTGTTCTTTCCCAGACTTGTGGAAGTTGGAATAAAACTAGAGAAAAAGAAGTGACTGCATACATATGCATAGGCGTGTGTATTTTTAGATTGAGAAAACCTTTCATCATCTGAATATTAGAATTCAAACATCATTCCCCCGTCTGTCTGATCATTCTTGGCTTCCACTGTTGCTCCTGCCTGTGATATTGGTATTTTCCTTTTAAAAATAATACATTTTCTCTTTGATTTGCTGTTTGCCTGATTGTTTTCTTATTTCCCTCTCTTCTACCTTCTCTTGCTCTTGATCTCTTTATCTTCTTTTGTCTCTACCTCTCACCTCTCAGTGTGAATGATTGTGTTAGGTCACCTGTTGGGCAGGTACTTTAAAAAAATAGTTATCCAGTTCAGAAAGTACATTCCTGGAGGCATCAAATTAATGAGTATCTCAAAGCCTGTGGTGCAACAGGGGAGAAAAGATTAATTAGAAATATGAAGCACTGATTATTGGTGGCCCTACACATCAGTCCGGACATGAATGTGTGCACTTGTTCACACACACACACTCACAGGTTAACAGACCAGATGAGGAATAAAATGATAATTAGGGATCCCAGAAACCATTGTAGGTCCTTTTAAACTTGAATCTCTCTTTCAAACAAAAGGCAGTTTTTTAGTCATACTGCAGAGAGATGACTACAGAAAGAAAAGAAAGCATTACATTTTATATTTCCGACGACTTTCTTTCTGAAAATGATGCTTTAATTATTGTTTAAGAAATTGATGTCATACATCAGCTACAAGTTACGTTGTTTGTACATATTTTTGAATGCTTATGCTCATTTGCCAAAAATACTTGAGGTGTTCTCTTCTCCTCTGGTGTGGAGTATTATTCTAGTCTTTTTTTTTTTTCATTTAAATATACACACAATTCTCATGTGAACTTGTGGGCATACGGACATATATTCAGGTATGGCACTTTGAAACATACCATAATATGAGGAGTAATGATCAAAATACTTAATGGCCACCAAGAAATGGGCACCAGCCAGAGTAGACATGGGGCAAGAACAACGTAAGTAAGGGTAATTGTGCCACTGATGCTCTGAAGTGCATTAGCCTTTATATAAGGAGTAGAGAACCTCGTGGGATTAGGTGCTAACTAGGAGGTTGGTGTTAGTAAAATTTTTCTAATTCAACATTTGGGTAATGTTTTCAACTAGATCCAGTTCTTTATTTCATCTTACATATAGCTGTTCCAAATTGTCCATTGCATGGATTACATGACTAAGGTACAAATTATAGATGACCTCTATTAAAATTCCTAGGAAAGTGAAAGTGTTAGTCGCTCAGTCATATCCGATTCTTTGTGAGCCCATGGACTGTAGCTTACCATGCTTCTATGTCCATGGAGTTCTCCAGGCAAGAATATTGAAGTGGGTAGCCATTCTCTTCTCCAGGGGAACAGCTCAACCCAGGGATCAAACCCTGGTCTCCCGTATTGCTAGCAGATTCTTTACTGTCTGAGCCACCAGGGAAACCTATATTAAATTCATATAGTTGTGATTATAAGTGTAGTCTGTACACTTTTTAACTGGTGTGGTAATTTAGCTCTTTCTCACTTGGGACAAAATTAAATTTATATTGGTTCTAGTGTATTAACTCATGTAAACTCATTTAGAGGTTAGAAAGAATTGTTAGTGTTAGATTTTAAATTCTCTTTATTTTCATCTGTTTAAAAACGGGTTGGTAACAAAAAATACTAATGATTATGCTTGACTATAGATTTTGCTAATGGAGTGAAGGTGAGATTTTATAAACCTAAGTGAAATTGTTTTGAAAGTAAACTATAGTACTAAAAAGTAAGTTCCTCCTTAGTTGTAAAATAGCAATAGCTTTTATGTATTTAACATTTGATGTGATTTAGGCAATATTCATTCCAAGTGCTTTATATAAATCATGTTTATTGCTTACAACAATATCATCACATATATTGCATATAACAATATCATAATAAATATTAACCTTAAAGTTGAATTCAGAAACTGATATATTTACATTTGCTAATTTCACATCTTACATATATATTAAACCACTCAAGGATAAGGACAATATTCATAACATTGTCCGTGTGCCTTAAAGGAGAAAAAGTGGGCTTTGCATTCATAGGTTAACCTGCACAATGTAGGAAACCTTGCTCTCCACTAAACTAATACATGTGAACATTGAAAGGTTAAACAATTAATGCAAGAATTTCTGATTATTTCTGGTAACGGTGAGTTTAATCCTTCGCTTTCTTGTTTCTAGTCCCAGGGCAGCCACTCAATTTCAAGGCAGAACCTGAATCCGAAACAAGTATTTTGCTCTCTTGGACGCCTCCACGTTCAGACACCATCGCCAGCTATGAACTGGTCTACAGAGATGGGGAGCATGGGGAGGAGGTAAGACTGTGCTTCTCACCTTGTCACCATTCATGGCATCGAGACACGATTCTCATTCTGTGTACTTACCCAAGTTCCGTTAAAAGGTCAGATATCTACTGAGGACCTTGGTGGAAAAGAGTTATTTACAAAAAGAGAAAATTGACAAAAAAAAAGAGAAAGGAGTATTTGGAGACTTGATGGAGGTAGGACAGAAGAGACAAGAAAATCAGCTTTTGTCTCTAATGAATTTTTTTTTTAAATTCGGGTTTCCAAGATACTTACGGAAGTATCAGGTTGTAAAAGAATATACGCCTTGAGATTTGGAGATTTCCTTTCTTTGTCTTCTGCATTAAAGTATTTAAGTCACAGTTAATACTTGACTAAGTGAGCGCCAAGGCTTTGGGTAGATGAATTTGTCCCAACTGGTTTCAGAGAAAAATGCCCCAGAGCAAATGTTCATTTGTATGCCATTGATTGTTTGATATGAGTGTGTATCTATCTATCTATATATCTATATCTATATCTATAGCTATAGCTATAGCTATATCAGCACCTATAGGCTTCCCAAGTGGTACTAGTGGTAAAGAACCCACCTGCCAATGCAGGAGACACAGAGATGTGGGTCCAATCCCTAGGTCGGGAAGATCTTCTGGAGCAAGCGATGGCAACCCACTCCAGAATTCTCTACTAGAGAATCCCCGTGGACAGAGGAGCCTGGAGGCCTACAGTCCGTAGGATTGCAAAGAATCAGATGCGAGTCAACTTGGCGCGCCCGCGCACACACACACACATACATATATACACACACATATAATTTGATTATGTTATGGAAATAAAGTATAGAAGGCTAGAAATTGTTAATAGTTACTAAAAAGATAAATTAAAATCAGAATAGCATACATTAGAGGTACTATAATAAGGGTTTCACATATATTAACTCAATCAGCCTCTATTATTAATCTGTTTCACATATTAACAAAATGGATACACAGAAAAAAGTTGAAGTATTTGCCCAAAGCCTCATACTAGACAATTTCTAGAATCTGTTCTCTTGACTTCATGATACACTGGCCCATGGGTATACTTTGAACAGATTCTATAAATCACTATTAAGATACATCTAATATTTTCAGAATGGGAATATGTGATAATAATATATATTTTGTCTGTTATCATGAAACTCATTAGGGAACATCAGGACAAAAAAGTGTATAAAACTATATGTGAAAACTCAATTCACCAAGCCATTTTATTATATCTCTTAGCAGTCTTTGTCTTAAAAAAAGCCAACCTCACAAAGCAAAACAGCCCTGATTTCTAACAAACAGTACTTTTTTAAAAGACTCACATACTCAGGGAACTATTACCAATTGACTGGTAGCTCATCATTTTGAATGCTATACTAAGTTAATGTTATTAAACCTGCTTTATTACATCTCTGAAGTGAGCAGGTTCTAAGAGCAGTGCTCTTAGGTTTAGCTATCAAAGCCAATTCCAATTAATAACTCAAAACATTCTAGAACCAAAGCATTGATATAAGTACTCATGTTACAAATGTTGTAGTACAACATAAAATAGCATTAAATTATTTAAAGTCCTTCAGTTCAGTCGCTCAGTCGTGTCCGACTCTTTCCGACCCCATGAACCGCAGCACGCCAGGGCTCCCTGTCCATCACCAACTCCCGGAGTCTACCCAAACCCAGGTCCATTGGATCGGTGATGCCGTCCAACCATCTCATCCTCTGTCATCCCCTTCCCCTCTTGCCCTCAATCTTTCCCAGCATCAGGGTCTTTTCAAATGACTCAGCTCTTCGCATCAGGTAGCAAAAGTATTGGAGCTTCAGCTTCAACATCAGTCCTTCCAGTGAACACCCAGGACTGATTTCCTTTAGGATGGACTGGTTGGATCTCCTTGCAGCCCAAGGGACTCTCAAGAGTCTTCTCCAACACCAGAGTTCAAAAGCATCAATTCTTCGGCACTCAGCTTTCTTTATAGCCCAAGTCTCACATCCATACATGACCACTGGAAAAACCATAGCCTTGACTAGACAGACCTTTGTGGACAAAGTAATGTCTCTGCTTTTTAATATGCTATCTAGGTTGGTCATAACTTTCCTTCCAAGGAGTAAGCATCTTTTAATTTCATGGCTGCAATCACCATGTGCAGTGATTTTGGAGCCCCCCAAAATAAAGTCATCCACTGTTTCCACTGTTTCCCCATCTATTTGCCATGAAGTGATGGGACTGGATGCCATGATCTTAGTTTTCTGAATGTTGAGCTTTAAGCCGACTTTTTCACTCTCCTCTTTCACTTTGATCAAGAGGCTCTTTAGTTCTTCTTCACTTTCTGCCATAAGGGTGGTTTCATCTGCATATCTGAGGTTATTGATATTTCTCCCTGCAATCTTGATTCCAGCTTGTGCTTCCTCCAGCTCAGCGTTTCTCATGATGTACTCTGCATATATGTTAAATAAGCAGGGTGACAATATACAGCCTTGACGTACTCCTTTTCCTATTTGGAACCAGTCTGTTGTTTCATGTCCAGTTCTAACTGTTGATTCCTGACCTGCATACCCAATTAAAAATAAAAGCAGTTATGAGAGAGCTGGTCTTTTGGCAATGGTATGGGTACTTGATTGTTGGCATCCCTACTCTGCTTTACAAATGTGTTTATTTAGGAAATTCCTTTTTTTCCTTATTATTTGGTAAGTCTAAAATATGTGAATGCTTTTTTATTTGCAAGCTAGAACACCCTAAGGATATTTTCTTTAGTTTTATATTTGAATTCCCCTTCCTTGATTTCTGGTTTGTGTGAATGCCAAACACTGTTTAATAAAAAGCCTTACAAGATTATTGATGCCATTACAAGATTACATATTAGTTGTTTTTTAAGATTTGCTACAGACTCATGTTCAGTCTGAGATTGATTACCCATAGATAGCTATATTTTTGCTAAAATAGCAAAGGCAGATTTCAAGCATGAAAATAAGAGTTACAACATTCAATTAAAAAAAAAAAAACTTATTTCAGAAGCCCTTTATGGTGTCAGGTTATAGAAGAGTTTGTGGTTTCTTTTTCCTGCCTGTAGGCACTATGATGCAGGGAGCTCAAATCTGGTGCTCTGTGACAACCTAGAGGAGTGGGATGGGGTGGCAGGAGGGAGGGAGTTTCAAGAGGGAGGGGACATACATCATACCTATGGCTGACTCATGTTGATGTAAGGCAGAAACCAACACAATATTGGAGAGCAATTATCCTCCAATTAAAAATAACTTAAAAAATTAATTTGAAATCAACCTAGAGTAATGATTTGGTTTCATATACATTATCCAGCTTTCTTCAGGAACTAACAGCTGATTTTTATCCCTGCCAACCGTGGCAATTTCAGATCTCTTCTATGACACTGTCATGTAAACTGTATGCCAGTTTCCATTGTTATGTTACTTCTGGCCATGTTTTCTTTGCGCATACTTGGGTTTCAGACTGCCATGGGGAATGAGCTGGGCATCTCTTCAGATGGACTGTTGGGCACAGTCGCTGTCAGGAGTGGGTGTCACTTTCTATTCTGGACAGTGTCACAACCACACACATGCCTTGACGTTTAAATGCCTTCGTGGGTGGTGGCCTGTCGCTGCCCTTATCTGATGTATTTGAAACACTGTGTCATCATTAAATAGATCCTTGACTTCCTTTTTTCTAGTTGTCTTACTGGTAGAAACTTACCACTCCACTCTTCTTGCCTGGGAAATCCCGTGGACAGAGGAGCCTTCTTGGCTACAGTCCATGGGGTCGCGGAAGCTTGGCCACAGTTTAGCAGCTAAAAAACAACAACCTTCAATATGTGATTCCCTTAGTGGGGTCCTTGATACTCACTGTTGATTCTGTTTGGGATACTGTGGTAACATTATAACCCTGACGACAGAAATCTGATATTCTGGGCAGTGTGCTAAAAATATGCGCACAGATTTTGATGAAGATGATTAAGTTCCCTTGTTCCGTACCCACAGCAGCGGACCAGCATTGAGCCAGGGGCGTCTTACAGACTGCAAGGGCTGAGGCCAAACAGCTTGTATTATTTCCGTCTGGCAGCGCGCTCTCCCCAAGGCCTGGGAGCTTCCACAGCGGAAATATCAGCCAGAACCATGCAGTCAAGTAGGTGTCTCTCTTTGCTTCTTTTCTGCCCTTTTTTTTCACTAGGAAATGTTGCCGGCTTTTATCCTCACCAACAGACTTGCTAATTCATATTCTTTTAATAGTTGGTAGTCTCTATATCAGCAAGTGTCCAGTTTTAGAGATTAGGGTATCAAGACCTTGGTTTTCATACTGGATCCAAATGACAGATCCCATTCTCTCACTCCTGGAATCGGAAATCATTTAGAGAAGTTAGGAAACCTCCTTGAGAAAAATGGGTAAAAGCGTTGGATCAGGCCCCAGTTAATGAATTATAAAGTTGTAAAGCAAAATTCAAGTTGAGAACACTGCAAAATAATCAGAAGAGGGCTTAGTAAAGGTAGCAAAAGACCAAACTTGCACCTTTTTTAAGGACACAGATTTTAACTTTGCTAATGACCAAGTCTTCTTGTCACATATTTGTTCCTAGTTTGTTGTTAACTTTGCAAGTCATTCATATGAAAATTTGAAACATTCACAGAGAATCTGTATTTGGACAAATTTAGGAACAATGGAATAATCACAAGTATACTGGCAATCCTAAATTGTATGTTATTTCCTCAGATTTCTTTTCATTTGGAGACTATTACTCTAAAGCATAGTTGTGTTTATCACAATGGAATTCATTGTGTCTAAGGAGAACTGCTCTGTATAATGTATTATATGCCAGGTTGTTTTTGATGGAAAGTCTGGTGGCTTATATAATACTACTGTTTGCTCTTTATTAATAAGTTTCTATAATTTATTAAACAACCATGTTTCTTGAACAGTATTTTGGCGTTTCCTTAGATTTTAAAAATATTTTATATTTTATATGTGATTTGTGATATAGTGACATAGATATGTACAAATGAATATATGGAGTTTCATAAAGAGGATGTTCTGTTGACCTAATTTTTAAACCTATCAGAGAACATGAAATTTATAGGATTTAGAAACTGAGTTTCCTTTCATATAAGCAAGTCTTCCAGAATTTCATTTTCTATAGATAAATCTTTCAGTTTTTGATGATAAAATTCATAGTTTTCCTCAACATATGATCATTCATATGAAAAGTATTAGTATTCTGTTGCTTAATCCCTTACTGATTATAGCTTATTCCTGTAACATTCCCTTTCTTCTAAAACTCAAACATGTAAATCAGTGCAGTATTATATGTCTCCTTTGAGTTGCAGGCAGGCTAATAAGTAATATTGCAGAAGATAAATCTTAAAATCAGACATTTAATTAACAGAAAGGTGACACACTTTAGTATTATATTTTGCATGTTTGTTTACAAACTTGAGTTTTTTTGCATATATACACCTATGTATGCATACATGTTTCTCTGGTGTCTCAAATGATAAAGAATCCGCCTGCATTGCGGAAGACCTGGGTTTGATCCCTGGGTTGGGAAGAACCCCTGGAGGGGGGCATGACAACCTACTCCAGTACTCTTGTCTGGAGAAGCCCATGGACTGAGGAGCCTGGAGGGCCACAGTCCCTGGGGTCACAAAGAGTGGGACACGACTAAGCGACTAAGCGCAGCACAGCATATACACACATAGATACTCCATACAGACAGAATGCACTTTTTGTAACCCCATCAAAAGCTTATCTATGCTTTAAGTGGTGTTGAGTATACTCTTGCAGAATAGGAGGTCTGAAGGTAGGAATGCAGTGAAAACCAAATCAGTTTTTTAAAAAGAATTACAAATGAGTCTTTGCTGTTACATGAACACCTCCATTTATTATGAATGATAGTGCATATGAAATAGTTTCATAATTTGAGATATAAGAACCTATAGTCAGAATGAATAAAAATGATGTTCTTGTGATTTTGCAAATCTTATACCAGATTTACAAGGCTGTTGCATGATAATTTTCTTTTTGTCTGTACAAAGATCTTTTCATTTTGATTGCCTATAATGAAGAACACAAGACATGTAAATTAAGAAAGACTGATAATCGTCTATATAATCAGATATTCCTGACACTACATATTATTAAGGTTCACAGAATGTAAAGAACTACTCAGACTGAATGTTCAAATACCAAAAAAAAAAATGTTTTACTCTTCAATCATATATATTGTCTTATATATGCATACATATTTACATATATCTTACCCAAATTCTTTGTGCTTCTTTAGGAATATATATTACTAACTTGAAAAATAACTTATAATACTAGTCACATTGTTCTTTCTTGCTTTTTTTCAAATAATGATGTTTGATTTATTTGATGGAGAATAATTACTCAGAAGGTGACTAGTTTATATTAGAATGGGCATTAAGAAAGTTTATCTTTTAACTGTCATGCAAATTCTACTTTAATATGAATAGTTAATGTACAAAATGAAAGGAGCTGCATACAAAGTGGAAGATAAGTCATATCTTTCCCAGATGGTTCTCAGGATTTTTTTAAACTTTTTTTTAATGGCTGTGTTATTGACATTTTGTAAGGGATAGATGATTTTTATTGATTTTATTGAAATTTGCTGGTGGGATCTAATTCTTCACTAGCAATGATATCCCAAGAAGAGTTATAATTTTTTTAAAAAAGCTGGAAGCTGATATAGGGTAAGTACAAGTTACAGTCCGAATCAACCAGCCTGACATTTACCCTCGGGTAGGTAAACCTTGGACTGCATTTTCATCCTTTATAGATCTGCATGCTCACTGTATATGGGCTATGATCAGTATTAGGCTAACACTTGTCATTAGAACTGGTCAGAATACTGATTTTCAGATAGTCAGAGGGAACCCTTTTATGTTTATTGGGCTTTTATTTATTTCTCTTTTTAAAATTTTAATTGGCAGAAGGGCATCTATCAGTTATTGCCACTTTTCATACTGAAGAAACTTTTTGCAAATGAATACTGTATGTGAATCAGAATGCAGTTCGGTAGCCAAAGCTTGAAATGGCATCTCTTAAATATCATCAGACTCTCATGTAACAAATCTTGTACTGTTTGCAGCTCTTTATGAAGTTCGATAGTCTGTAAAATAGGGCTGGGGAATACTGAGGGATTGTTTTAGAAGAAGAATTTAAATTGCAGGTAGGTAATTTTATTTGAGGCTCTGTTATCTTAAGATTTCATTTTCACATACTCCCCCCACCCATTATTTAACAATTATTTTTGGTCATTTATTCATTTTTTGGTTTATTCATATTACTAAGCCAAGGTTCATAAATTTATCTTTAAAATTTTAAGTTTCAAAGTCTTATTTTCATTTTGTTGCCCTTCTTGTTCGTCTATTTATTTTCGCCTTTTCTTTTGTTTTATCATTTTTTTTTTTCCAACCACTCCTGTCCTTTCACTCAAACCCTCCTTTAACTCACTACCAAAATAAGAGCCGTCAGCTCCTCCTCAAGACATTAGTTGCACCAGTCCAAGTTCCACTAGTATTTTGGTAAGTTGGCAACCTCCACCAGTGGACAAACAGAATGGCATTATTACTGAATACTCCATCAAGTATACTGCAGTGGATGGAGAAGATGACAAACCTCACGAGATTTTGGGAATCCCTTCGGACACTACCAAATACCTTTTGGAACAGCTGGAAAAATGGACTGAATACCGGATCACTGTGACAGCCCACACTGATGTCGGCCCTGGCCCTGAGAGCTTGTCCGTGTTGATTCGAACCGATGAAGATGGTATGTTGCCTCTGCTCCATCAGTCCGCACCCTTCTACCACGATCTTGCTCAGCTGTCTTTTCATAGGCTAACAGTAATGTGTTTTTTCTGCTCATCTTTTTTTAACCCAGTGTCACTGTAACTTCAGCAATTTTTGCTAAAGACCTATCTTTGCTACGGCCTAGGAATTTTTTTTTTTTAATTTTTAAAATCTCAACACAGTCATTTGCTTCCTTTTTAAAGAACAGTTTGCTCCTGTGACCTTGCAATCCAGGCCCTTCTCTGTACCTCCATCTAATATCTTCTGCGTTTTTCTTGGCTTTTTGTAGTTGCTTCTTTTACATTTTGATGTTAACTTTGCAAAAGCACCTTCTTATCTTCTTGTTGCCTTTTTGTCTTGAACATTTCAGAGACAGTGATGCTCAACATTCAGTTCTTGGCATCTGTTGTATGGAATACCTTTGATATGAGAAAAAAAAAGAAGAAAATCCATATAATCAAGAATCTTTTTATTCTGCTAAAAAAGAAACCTAAAAAACACACACAGCAATCAACAACTAGTTTTTGTTATTATTTCAATGCTATACTTCTTTGTGCTTTAATGCTTTGAACCTCAAAGCATCTTCCTTGGCTTTTGTACATTTTTTACATGTTTTTCTATTTCTCTGATACTCTTTTTTTCTTCCATTTTTTTTCTTTTTTTTGGCATCGGTCATACTTTTTGATCTTTTCTTAAAAGATAGAGCAGATTGGTTGAGCATTTTCATGAGTTGAAAATGTTTGTATTCCACAAACAAACATGGTGGGTCTACCCATTTTTTTTTTTTAAACCTAAGTAAAGAAAATGCTCTGACTGGGTGGGACAAGTGCCTATAATTTTCTTTTATCCAATGATGTTGTTCCAGTTCCTAGTGGTCCTCCTCGCAAAGTCGAGGTAGAGGCTGTCAACTCAACATCTGTTAAAGTCTCGTGGCGCTCACCCGTGCCCAATAAACAGCATGGCCAGATAAGAGGATACCAGGTGCATTATGTGAGGATGGAAAATGGTGAGCCCAAGGGCCAGCCCATGCTGAAGGACGTCATGCTGGCTGATGCACAGGTAAGCATCTGAAATTACATAGGTATATATATTTTTTTCATTTATTTTTATTAGTTGGAGGCTAATTACTTCACAACATTGCAGTGGGTTTTGTCATACTTTGACATGAATCAGCCATGGAGTTACATGTAACTCCATAGGTATATTTTTATAGGATACGTCTATTTTAGCCTGTATCTTAAAATGGACCCCATGTTCATTTTTTCTTTGACATTTTAAAATGTCCATACAAAATTCTAGATTTTTAAGAAACTTGAAGGATAGTTGATTTTCAGTGTTGTGTTCATTTCTACTGTACCGCAAAGTGATTCAGTGATACAGATATAGATCCAGACATCGACATAGATACAATGGTTTGCATTTGCTAATCCCAATCTCTCACTCTGTCCTTCCTGGACCCTGCATCCCACTTAGCAACTAGAAGTCTGTTCTCTATGCCTGTGGAGTCTGTTTCTGTTTTGTAGACAAGTTCATAACATTCTAGCTTTAAAAACACACGATCCATATTTATCTTTTCAGTCAGAGTTGACTTCAAGTTAGGAAGTGAATTGAAATGACACATCTGATTCAAAACACAGAACATTTTTTTTTTTAAATACAGATACTTGGCTGTCTACAGCTATTTCTCAGTTTGTCTTTCTGCCTTAAAAAAAAAGTTGACTTAATTAAATCAAAGGGAAGAATTTTAAACAGGAGTTTTGCTGATAGTCTACTTTCTGCTGTGCTAAAAGTATTTGAAACTAAGCTAATCTATAATTTCTGAATGAATGCCTTCTTTCACTGAAGAATAAACATTTTAGTTTGGGGAAATGTATCCAGACAGTATTTTTATCTGTCATTTATTTACAAAATTACATATTTATTTAAAATAATTATTTCATTTCCCAGAAAATGAAGATAATGATAAAAATTATAGAATTTCCCAGGGAATTAATGAGATCCTGTATGTTGAGCCAGTTAAAATTATTAAGTGTAGTTGAGTTTGTGAGAAATTCTTTCATGCCGAAGGCAATGGTTTATAACCATGTAGTCACAACTTGGTTTTGTAATAAGTTATTTAAAAAAGAACTTTATGTTTTTTTTTCAATTTTTTAAATAAACTGGAAGTGAATCAAAGATAATACCATAATATATCTACTTGTACCTATTTTTCTGAAAGGGAGAGGAAGGTTGTAATTAATAAGCATCCTGCTGGGGATTATACATATCCCGTGGACTAGATTACCTTGTTCTAGTAGTGATGGGGTATGAGAATGGAGTGTTTTGCTTATTCAGCAAATTGGTAGCTGGGCCTGGGACTAGAAGGGATTATTGCAAATATGAAACCAATTCAGTCGAAAAGTCCTTCTTTTGTATGAAAGTAGGGAAGATTATGAACAAAGTGGAAAACTGTTGTACCGAATTACTACATTTTGCTTTCTTTTCTCTGTGAAAATAACAGGGCAATAAATATCCCAGCTTTCTACCCCTGATTCTTTACTTCATGTTTATCCCAGTCTTAACTCACAAAGGTGCTTATTTGCTTTAGCTATAAAGCATTCTAACTAAAGGGGTCTAACTTAGTGACTTATTTACCTCAAAAATCCAGTTGTATGATTTTGGTTTGAAGGACATTTCTATAAATTTAGTCGGAGATTCATAGTGTCCCATAATATTCTGGAGAAAGGACTATTGATTTGCTTTTAATAAATATTTATTTTGTACTACCCATAAAACAGAAAGTTTTTATATAGTATACAAAATGCTTACATTTTATTTGGTGCATCTGTAATTTTGAAAAATAAAGTAATATAACCATCATGTTTTGATGTCCTTCATCAGTTCTTAGACACATTAGAGAACAGTAGTTCTTTTGCTATTTTCATTGGGAATTTGGTAGTCAATGAAATTATATAATACAAAATGCCTTAAATGTCAACTCAATCTTTTTTTCCCCACTCTTCTACTTTGGTTTTTCTTTCTTATTTTGCTAATTTTCCTTGTGTTGTTCTGGGTTTTTGGTTGATTTGTTTTTTCTCATATCATGTTCTGATAATTCATTGAAATTTTTTTACATCTTACAGGACTTCATTGATGTACATTTTCAATATAATAAAGATATTAATCTAAATAGTAACTTGAATTGCATAATCTAGATAGAAATCAAAATAAACATTACAATGTAGTGTACATAGCATTTTGTATGCCTTATTGATTTGATCCAGTGAATTACATATTAAAAAAATTAGTTCGATTTAGTGATAACAATATAGAGTATATTTACTTTTAACTTCTCAATTAGGAGTGGAGGTGGCAGCGTAACACTCATATACTGTTTGGGATTTTATTGTACACACCTCTTCAGTTGCTTATTTTTTCTCTTTTTTTTTTAGTCTAAGGAGGGCACCATTGCCTTTATCAGGCTACAAACTTCATTTCTTTTTATTTTGTTTCCCTCCTCCCCAACCTTCTTAATCTCAATCAGTGGGAATTTGATGATACTACTGAACATGTGAGTAATTTTTGGCTGCTCTGTCAAAACAGATTATAAATGGTTGTTTTTTTACTGATACTCCCCTTTCATTTATTTGTACTGTATCATCAGTTTGCTTGGATGCATGAACTAACAAACTATTTTTTAAAGTGTTTTCACTACATGGTATACTTTAAAAAAAAATTTTTTTCCCGTCATTGTTTTGTGAAATTGATGTGGTGCTATTGATTACATGAAAAATATCATGAGTTCATATTGTTTGATGGCTGTTACTAACTCTGCCTTGTGACACAGTTATAGGAGGCATGCTTTAAGTGGAGGTATCACAGACTGGAGATGTCTAGTTTGTTCTGGGCTGCTCATAAATCCTGCTCCAAGGTGGCATATTCAGTGCATAATATGATCTAAATCTGGCACCCATTAATTCTATCTAGAAATGACAGTTCTCTGTTGAACCCATACAAATTTGAGTGAAATTGCTTGAGTAAAACACCAAGAAGTAGAAGGTATCTTACTGAGTGAGGAATTTTTCTAAAATACTGTAATGAGTGGACTGAATTAGTCTGTTTGTTTTTATATTGAGAGTTTATTATGTATAAAGTACTGTGGATGGCACTGCCTTCTAAATGCTTACAGTGTAGGTGGCTAGGAAGGAGGTAAAGTTCAGATAAGTTCCATAAATACAACCAATGTGATGCCCTCAAGCAGTGTATGAATAATTAGTATTTAAATGACAATATCAGTTAGAGCTATGAGTTTACAGACAGAGCGCCAGGTTGGTAGAAGTCCTGAAATTTAGGTGAGAACTCATCCCTAATGAGTAGGGATTAAGGAGGTAATCCCTGTGTGTCTGTGCATGTTGCAGAGTCGGAAGTGAGAACGTACTGAAGTACATTCCGAACTCAGCAGAGGGAGACATGGATACGAGAGTGTGATAAAGTCCGGTGACAATGAGCTTGGCAGTTTGACAGAACTGAAGAGTTCAAGTTATTAAATACATTATATTTTAGTGTAATGTTGGAAAAATCTAAAGTGAAAAAGTGAAAGTCGCTCAATCAGGTCCGACTCTTTGTGACCCCAAGGACTGTAGCCTGCTAGGCTCCTCTTGTCCATGGAATTCTCCAAGCCAGAATACTAGAGTGGTTAGCTATTCCCTTCTCTAGGGGAAAAATCCAAAGTTTCAAGCGAAAGACCTGATCTCTAACTCTTCAGTACTTGAGAGATTTTTTAAGTTGTTAAAAAAAAAAAAAGAGCAATAAGATAAAGGCTGGTATGAGGTTTTCTTTCATTTAGTAAATATGTTTTTGCCAAAACACAGGTTTCTTATAGGAGTTTCTGGTAAATATGATGATCAAGCTATCACTTCTTCTGAAATTGACACTGTAACAGTGTTTTATAAACTTTTTTCATCATAACCCATAGTAAAAAATGCATTATTCACCAAGACCAATGCATGCATATGTTTAAAATAAAGGTTTTACAAAATAATACCTTACTTTTAAATATAGTCACATTTTAATGTTCAAGTATATCCATTTGTTTAAAAAACACTGGTCTTGAATGGCTAAATTCATTTCATTAGCTACTAAATGGGTCGTTACCTTCAGCTTAAAAATCAATAACTTCATGGATAGATTAAGAGAAACAATACAGTTGATAAGGAAACAAGTAAACAGTTCTTTTCCTAAATCATGAAGTGATTTTTTTTTAAGTTGAGCGTCAGAAATGAAAAAGGGAAAGTTATGATCAATATTTTAAAGGAAGAATGAACAGAACCATACTAACTGGCTAAGAATTTGAAGGACGCTATTGGACCAAAGATTGCTCATAAGTTTTGAAGATGCTTCATCTTTCATTAAAATATGGAAATATTTTATGGAAGAAGGGGACTCTGCTTCTGGGAGTAACATATACTTTAGTTAAATTGAATCTGAGATAACCACTTGACAGTTAAGGGAAAATGTCCAGCAGATATTTACAATGCTGGGGCCTTATGCTGGGGCCCTGGGGGAAAGTCAAGGCTAGAGATGAATTTAGGATACAGGCAGAAAAAATTCTCTTAAGTTTTAGAAATGAAACTAATTTTTTTTTTTTTTAGGACTAGAGAGAAAGATAGCAGATGTGTTTTGACAGACTGTGTCAAGACACTTGGGGATGACAGCTATTAGCAAGCAGGGGCAAGAATTAGGATGCAGAATGGAATAGGAGGATACAGAGAGGAATAGTGGTTATGATGTCAGCCAGAGAGGGTGTAGAGACCACCAGGGTAGTGCAGCCACAGCTTAAAGAAAGAAAATGTAACTCAGGAGACAGTGTGATTCAGGCAGAGAGAGGTGTGCTAGAGATTAGACCACTGAAGGCTTGAACGTTTGGACTGGCACTACTTATATTATCCAGTCCCAACCTGTGTGGAAGGAAGGTCATGTGTGATTGGCTAACTCCAAGTTTATAAACGAGAAACTTACAGAAGGCTCAGCATTTGTAAATTGCTTGCCTCTCAATTTAGTGATAGAATCAAGCTTCGCTTCTTTTTCCTCCCAACCTAGCCTGTTTTCATCAGTAGTTCTGTGACACGAGAGAGACCTTGGAAATGATAATGTTGAGATTTACCCATCCTAATTTTTGGAATTGCCAGTGTGCCTACCGTAATTTCAAGTGCCACTTTGGAGTGGCTCACTTAATTTTTATATTCTCTGTGATGAATGAAACCATCATTGGTTGGTGAAACCATTCCTGAAGATAAAAATCTATCTCTCAAATTTAGTCTATTCATCTGATAGAATAATTTTTCCAGTGGCTCTTCAGGATGGTATCTGAAATTTTTGAATTTCCACACTGGTGAGATTCCTACTTTTTTGAGAAAAGTACATTGTCAAAAGCTATCATCCCTGGATTCAGATTCAACCATTGATTTCTATGGTGCCCATTACAGCCTTGCACAGAAAAGTCCCACTGTTCTCCATTCACACAATCAAATCCATTCACTAAACTCTCACATGTATTGTCTTTAGATGCGAAAGATGACAGTCAGTATTTTCTTATATTTATCCATATTGAATTTGAAAACATAGCTGTGCCAGAAAGCTGAAAAGTTATTTTTTAAATTGTTGTGCATGTGTGTGCTCCAAAGAAAATACCAAAACATTAATAGCCAGCACTCTATTTAAAGAATCATGTACCTTCCAATTTGGAAGAATAATTCTTGGACTGTCTACTCATATAACCATCACAGCTTTGGGTCCTTACTAAGAGAAAACTAATAGTTTTGATGAATAGTTTGTGGTATTTAACATTTTCAGAAGTGATTGAGCACATATCCGTGATGTGATAGAACAAGATCCTGTTACATGGTTTTATGACAAGGCCTCAAAATCTATAGATTGTTCTCCTTAGTTTATGATAATTTTAGTTCATAACCTATACAACTAACCAGTAATATATTATTTGAGTCCTGAGAAACTTCTGTGGCTGTCTAGGTCCAACAGACCAGCCACTTGGCAAAATACCAGTATTTACGTGATTAAACATACTGTTTGGCATCAGCGCCACTAACAGTCTGAGGACCAGGAAGCACATGGATTGTGGCTGGAATAGCATAACAGCTAGAGAACTGCCCACTACAAGCCAGACATTGTTTTAAATGTTTACCCAGTATAACTGTAATCCTTTAGTAGCCTAGAGCGTCTTAGCCTCCCAACTTTCACATGGAGAACTGAGGCACAGATGGGGTGAACTCACTTGCCCTGGGTCACCAGACTGGTAAATAAGGAAAGGCAAGTTTAAATCCAAGCATTCAGAAGGTCTGACTCCAGTTTTTGTGGTTTCGATTATTACCCCTTAGAGCTGCCTCTGAGGATGGCTGAAGACTCCATTTCAGTGTCAGCATGGAGACAGATCTTCCCCAGCATGAGCTCTAGGCATGAAACATCCAGTGCTTGGCATGGCTGCAGGGAATGTTCATGCATGCACAGCATGGAGGCCGAGGCCTCAGTTTCCCCCCAGGGCAACTGCAGCATAGTTTTGAATCATTGCTATTCTGTTGTATCATTTCAGGACATGATTATTTCTGGGCTCCAGCCTGAAACTTCCTACTCCCTCACTGTCACAGCTTACACCACCAAAGGAGACGGAGCTCGCAGCAAACCCAAGCTGGTGTCCACCACAGGGGCAGGTAACCATGTCTATGCATGTATATGTCTTCAGTATGTTTCAGGCAACAATGATGATTTTCCCAATGGTATGGATGGCTTCTATCAGAGGGGAGAATGGACTGTAGTCAACTTCTGTGATTTTTGATATATCTTAAGTTAGGTAAAATAATTGAAGAACCTGCTTTGCCCAAATTACTTCATCACTCATTCACCAAATATTATTTGAGTCCCTACTGTGCATCAAGAACCATTTCCGGTACTTTGAAGAACAGTCAACAAAACAGAAAGAATCTGGCCTCCTGAAATTTATTTTCTGACCGAGATTGGATAATTAACAAGTGAACAAATGAGTTTTATAATAATAAAATGCTGGGAAGTGATAAATTATGAAAAGAAAGATGTGCAGTCATGCCTTTAGGCAGTCCCTCGGGGCAGTTTTAGAAACAGTGATGTCTTTTAGAGGCAGGATATTTGAGCTGAGACTTGATTGGTGTGAGGGAGCGGATCCCATGAGGGTCTGGAAGGCAGATCATCTAGGGAGGGAAATCATGTGACAGCCTCAGCATGCCGCACCCTCCCCCCAAAAAGAAAAACCAACCTTGTTAGAAAGAGCTGCCGTCTGGAGCTGGGTTGATGACTTAATATTTTATTCTTTGTCATTTTCTCCTCCTGACCCCTTGTTCTGGGGTGTCAAAAGAGAACAAATTACACAAAAGATGGGAAACAGAAAATGAAGAAAGCAGGACTAACATAGATTGCTCCTTTCTGAAGAACAAAGCTTCTTAGTTGCTGTTTAGACTTGTACGTTGGTCTGCCACATTAGGAAAAGTCAGCATGAAGGAAGACCTGATGTTGTAAAACCAATAAATTAAGAGATAATTACAGAAGGATTCTCCTTCAGTCCCTTTATATAGAAATCTCCCATGGAACATTTAAACTATGATTTGATTTACTCCTCCCGAATCACTTCTGGCATAACTTTGTAGGAACACACCTCTATGTAAAGGCATAAAGCAAAGAACAGCTGTGATGTTGAGAGCCCTCCTGGGTGCCGTGCTCACTTCCAAATTTGTCTAAATGTCATAAGATTTGCCTCACTCATATCCCGCCACCTGGAACTGCCTCAAGCAGCAGGATTACAGATGGCAAAGCTCCTTCAAGGCAAAATCTTCCGGGCCTTATTTTTTTTTAATACCATTGTTTCAGGTTAATGCAGCACCCTGCATAGGAGATACAGTCCATGTTCAGTGGGACATGCTGAGTGTCTAGCTATGGAACCAGCTTCTCCTGGAATGTAGCCACATAAGAGTGAACCCCTAAAACTGAACCCCAAAATGAAAAAATACACTTCCTGCACCCATATTTATAATTGTGTCTTAAGAAAACTGAAGTGTCTTACATGAAGCATCAACCTCCTATTGCCCATGAAATAGGGAGGGATGTCTTATAATGAGGATGAAAAAGTAGAGGATTTATCTCCAAGGGATGTGAATCCTAGAACAAGGAATGCTACTGCCTACTTTAACGTCACCGAGGTTAGCTTGTCACTTTTTACTCACTGTACAGAACACTATTTAGAACTGTGGGTCTTACACACAGAATTATTTTGCAGTTTACATTCGTGATTTCAGATCTTTCTTAATGGAGACTTCGTTATTGAGGAAATGCTTATAATTTAGATGTCTGCATGCTTATTTTCTTGCAATCTCCTCTGTTCTTGGATTGGAGATGGGAGAATCCATCTGAAGAATCCATTCATAATCTTGTGGATTATAAATCCAGAAGGAGATTGATAATCGTTCAAAGAGAAAAGCTCTAGTTTTTTTTTTTTTCTTTTTGCTGCCAACCTGTAGTAAAAAAAAAGCATTCCCTAGTCATTAGTGAATAGATTAATTTGCTTTGTTCTGTATACTATTTTTAAAAAAACTTGTATTTAATGACTATGAAGAATTACTCAGTGTACCTCACAGATGTGAACTCCTAATAACCGTAGTTATAAAGGTATTTAATTATAGCTTCCATTGAAAATCCACAAATTCCCATTAAATTTTACTTTAATCATAAAATTCCTGGGTTTTGGATAGGTATATGTATAATACATTGTTCCTGGAATCTGCGAACAATCATATCTTTGAAATAAAGAGTACAGGCCATAACTTAAGCAATCCATATAGGATTCATGTAACCTGAGGGCTGCTTTTTAATAGAATGTTGGATTTTATGTTTCAGTGATTATGACATTTTTGTAGTTTCTTTGATAATACTCCCGTGCTCTGTATCATAATAATTAGTCTACTGCCTGAAATCTTGCAGTTTTAGGCAAATTTTTGGTTTGAAATTTTCTCTATATTTTTACAATAATTTCACTACTGTACTGAGCAGCTGTGTTTAAGGATGAGAGAAAAGTGACTATGATATGGAGAATTTGAAAGTAATTCTAGGCTTAGGTCAGTCAGTTATGATTGTTGCTACTTAGGTGCTAAGTTAAATTGAAGCTCAGTTTAGAGCCATTGGACTGAGTGCCTTGATGGATCGCCAATGATCGCTGTTACTAAGAAGTAGAGGGCAGCAGCACATGTGTATCATTTCTGAAGTCCTGACAGATTTTTAAGAGGGAAGAATATAGTAAGCACATAAGAACTGAAAAGGCAAAAGGGAGAATGGATTATACATCGTGACTTAAGAATTAGCTTATTTACTCTACAGAAGGACCCTCTGCTTATTCTAATATGCTCACTGCTAAAAATGCCCTCCAGCCTTTCTAGAGTAAGTATTTAAGACTCCTTCATTTTGCCAATCCTCCAGCTCCTAAATTGGAGCAAGCAGATCCTCTGACCCTGCCACTGTGTGCTCAGTCGTGTACGACTTTTTGCGACCCATGGACTATAACCCGCCATGCCCCTCTTGTCCATGGAATTTTTCAGACCAGAGTACTGGCGAGAGTTGCCATTTTCCTCTTCCTGGGGATCTTCCCAACTCAGGAATCGAACCTGTGTCTCTTGCATCTCCAGCATCTGTAGGCAGATTCTCTACCACTACTGCCGCCTGGGAAACCTGCCACTGGATGGCCTTTAAAAGTGGTCCAGACAGTAACCCCAAGGCATCAGAAACCTTGAACCCAACTCCACACACGCAGCACCACCTACTGGTTGTCTTCATTGCTCTACTTTGAGTATGCACTGCTCAGAGGACAAGGTCCCTGCATTACCCATGTTTCATTCTCCCACCCAAAGCCTGTGTGTCAGTATATAAGTCTTTCCACAAAGTGAGTAGTTGGTAAATGTTTTCTACATAGAACTTCTGAAAGCAAGAAATGGAGTGGGTTCCATTGCCAATATGTGCAGTTTTGGAGAATTCTTTTTAATCACACATGCAATGTTATAGAATTTTCCTCATTCCTTTTCCTTTTTTTCCCTGTTACTCCCTGGATGAAATACCACAATCATTACCCTCGCTGATTCATACTGTGTTTACTTTTTACACATTTGGGGAGATTTCAGGTATTCTCTTCTTGTGCTAGCCTCTGCGGAGCTGTCCATCACCAGCTCCTGGAGCTTACTCAGACTCATGTCCATCGAGTCAGTGATGCCATCCAACCATCTCATCCGCTTCATCCCCTTCTCCTCCCGCCTTCAGTCTTTCCCAGCATCAGGGTCTTTTCCAGTGAGCCAGTTCTTCGCATCAGGTGCCAAAGTACTGGAGTTTCAGCCTCAGCATCGGTACTTCCAGTGAATATTCAGGACTAATTTCCTTCAGGATGGACTGGTTGGATCTCCTTTCTGTCCAAGGGACTCTCAAGAGTCTTCTCCTACACCACAGTTCAAAAACATCACTTCATCAGTGCTCAGCTTTCTTTATAGTCCAACTCTCAGGTTCATACATTACTACGGGAAAAAGCATAGGTTTGACTAGATGGACTTTTGTTGGCAAAATAATGTCTCTGCTTTTTAATATGCTGTCTAGGTTGGTCATAGCTTTTCTTCCAAGGAGCAATATCTAACTTAAATTACATTACCTACTTAACTTAGTTAACTAACTTATTTAACTTAAAGTAACTTAAGTTAGGTAAGCAATATAATATCTAACCTACTTAACATGAAAGGAAATTATGTACTTATGAGAAATGAGCCCCTTTCTGCAAAAAGCTTAATATTCTGATTATTAATAATTATGATTATTATTAATGAAATATAAAATACTATTCTAAGGCTTTTACATGCATTTTCTCATTTAATACTCACAACATGGGGTGGGTCTTAATATAATTCCCATTCTAGTAGATGAAAAACTTGATGAGGATGACTGGTGTGGATAGTATAAAGAAAAATTGCAAATTAGATTCACAGAAAGTCTAAGCAACATTTTGTATTACCTTTTTTCTTCCTAACTTATAACCAATATAATAGTTAACTGTTTGGCTATGGATTCAGATACACCTGTGTTTGTCTCATAAATTTCTCACTTATTACACATCTGACTATGCAGTTTTCTGTTTCATTTTCTTATGAGGCGAAGCAAAGATAGCAACTAGTCACATAGTCAGGAGTGAAGAGTGTACTCAAGTGAGATACTCCAGGTAGTGCTCTTAGTACAGTACCTGATACACTGCATATGCTCAATGATTAAATATATTTTGATTGTTATTCTTATTAGCTGTATGTTACTGGCTAATCCTTACTTGGCTCCATTTCTGTGTGGCATGAACCTCTGTGTATGAAGAGTTGAAATGTGACGATATTTAAAAAAATCTCCTTAAGTTATCATTTCAGTAATAATTCCTATTTTCTCTCCATTATCACATTCTAATATTCACCCTACCTTCAAAAGTATGAGAAGAAGCATGTTTCCACAAAGGTATATCGACCAAGCCTTGGACTTTTTATAAGTGAAGCAATGGGAATGCCTGTGGAATTGCTTGAAATAAGTAATTTTTACGAGTAAGAATGGGAATGCCACTCCAAGGGGATTCCCATTCAACAGCAGTTGAAATACGAACATCCCTGTAGGTTGGTCTTACCACTCCATCCTGTGTCTCCAGTTCCAGGGAGACCCCGGCTTGTGATTAACCACACTCAGATGAATACAGCCCTCATTCAGTGGCACCCCCCGGTGGACACATTTGGACCCCTCCAGGGCTACCGTCTAAAATTTGGCCGAAAGGATGTGGAACCGCTTACTACTCTTGAGTTCTCTGAAAAGGAAGATCACTTCACGGCAACAGATATCCACAAAGGAGCATCGTACATCTTCAGGCTCTCGGCCAGAAACAAAGTGGGCTTTGGGGAGGAGATGGTGAAGGAGATTTCTGTACCAGAAGAAGTTCCAACTGGATTCCCTCAAAACCTCCAGTCGGAAGGCACCACGTCAACATCCACCCAGCTGTCCTGGCAGCCACCGGTCCTGGCTGAGAGAAACGGCGCCATCACCAAGTATACCCTTCTGTATAGGGACATCAACACCCCCCTTCTTCCGGTGGAGCAGCTCATTGTCCCGGCTGACACCACTCTGACACTCAGTGGCTTAAAACCAGATACCACATATGATGTAAAAGTACGTGCTCACACGAGCAAAGGGCCCGGGCCGTATAGTCCCAGTGTCCAGTTCAGGACACTGCCTGTGAATCAAGGTAGGATTTGTCTGCTTACGGCCTTTCTCCTTTAAAGGAATGTCGGTCTTTGGAAATCAGTATTTTGAAGCTATAGATAACTGATCGGCTCATTCATATTCATAGGTTCAGCAAAAGCAAAAAGGTAAGGTATGTAAAACTTAACGTGTTTTGGATGCCTTAGATTTCAGTTAGAGAATGCCAAGCAAGTCTGGCTGACAGCTCCCCAATGTTCCCAGGTAAGGAAAACACAATAGAGTTGACTGAATGGGAGAGAAAGGAGAGATTTTGGTGACAATGAGGTAGTAAAATGAATGCTTTTAACAGGTAGGCAGATCACACTTCTCTGATCCAAGTAGATGGCATCTAGCGTAAGCCTTCTTGTCCGTGGCGAAGGACTGGTCGAACGTTTTTAGGAGTAGTTTAAATACACTGTTTTTCCTTTTCCAGCAGTGTTTGCAAAAAATTTTCATGTCAAAGCAGTAATGAAAACTTCGGTGCTGCTGTCTTGGGAGATTCCAGAGAATTATAATTCTGCCATGCCTTTCAAAGTAAGCTGTTTCCTAATGTGTAAGGTATCACGGGTAAACGTGGAGGGGGCAGGTCACCCAGGGAAATCACTTAAAAACCACAGAGACTGCTTTGATTCAGCCACACGTACTTAACTGTTCTCATTTGTGGCTTTCACATCACAGACCAAGCCTGGTTCTTGGCCAGTGTGACCTTTGCCCTCTTGGGAGGAGGCAGAAGCTTAAACCTAGGGCCTGCATTCCTTGTGGGTAACCAAGCACTTACAAGTTGAACTTTTTACATCTAAACTAGTGCTTTTGATTTTTTCATCAGAAAATGAAATTTACATGGTTTTTGCCTATTTATAATGCAGCATCCTGGGATTTGGCAACCCACTCCAGTATTCTTGCCTGGAGAATCCCATGGATGGAGGAGCCTGGTGGGCTACAGTCCACAGGGTCGCAAAGAGTCGGACACGACTGAGTGACTTAACTTTCAACTTTCAGTGCTTTTGATTTTTCATCAGAAAATGAAATTTACATGGTTTCTACCTATTTATAATGCAGCATCCTGGGATTTAAGTAATTTGTTTATTGGCCTGAATTCTTTGCATATTTTAAACTTTAGTTTGCCATAGAGAGATACTGAAAAGTGTTAGCAAGAAGTACAAGTCTGTGAAATAGAGAATAGAGAAGCATCTATAAAAGTAAAAAAAAATATTTGGGAACAAGATTGGAAGTGTTTGCAAAAAAGTGGTGTGCATGATGCATTGAAAACTTAAGAGCATTTCTGCATATATTCCCTTAAGATCACAGACAACTGACAGACCAAATATTGAGAGGTTATTGCACATTTGCGTATTTTTGATAGACTTATAAACCTTATACTAATATACAATAAGGAAAAAAAAGGAAAATCAATGCCACCTCTAGGAGCGCTTATAGGCTTATGAAATGCCCCAAATTAAAAATGACGCATATATATTTTCCGTAATCAGGTACACATTACTTTAGAAAATATTCCTTATTTAACCGATAACCAAATCTTTCTGATTGGTCATCTCTTTCTAGATTCTTTATGATGATGGTAAAATGGTAGAAGAAGTGGATGGCCGAGCTACCCAGAAGTTAATTGTCAACCTGAAGCCTGAGAAGTCATACTCATTTGTGCTGACAAATCGTGGCAACAGTGCTGGGGGGCTGCAGCATAGGGTAACTGCTCAGACTGCACCCGATGTTCTGCGCACCAAGCCCGCCTTCATCGGGAAGACTAACTTGGATGGCATGATTACCGTGCAACTGCCCGAAGTACCTGCAAATGAGAACATAAAGTGAGTTGACTGAAGGTTAGGGCTGAACCATAGAAATGCATGTAAGCAAGAAAAAAAAGGTTAAATCTTGGTATTATGTGGTTATAAAAGAATGTGTAGCATATATTGCTGTATATAGAGTGAAAGAGGCTTTCGCATAGGCTCACAGTTTTGTTATTCATGTTCTGTTGCATTTTCTAGAGTTCATTTTGACACAGATTCTCATTAATTTTGCATTAATGAGAGTGTTTTATGAAGTGGAAATTAAATCCAGTCAATTAGGTAGTTTGTTGGTTTTATATAGCTAGTTGATGGTAGCCAGTAGAGGAAAATAAGCGTTTTCACCAAAGTGTATTAAGTATGAGTATTGTGGTAAACCCTGGGAAACAAAAGAGGATACAGAGGAACAGAAAGATGTAATACATGCTAGTGATAGAGTCTGGGTCAAGAAAGTTTCTGAATTTGATCTTGATGGACAAATAAGAAGTGTACAAAAAGTCAGAGGGTGGAAATTGTACACAAAGGCTCATGAGTACAGGAAACAAGCGATTCTGTAAGCAGGAGCTGAGAGACCCAGGGCAAGAGTGGTGAGAGAGGTAGGTGTGCAAGAGCCAAGTCATGCTCAGAAGTGGGGACCGTATCCTCTAGACCAGAGGTCCCCAACCTCCAGAATCTAAGGCTTGATGAAATGAGATGGAGCTGATATAATAATAAGGGAAATAAAGTACACAATACATGTAATGTGCTTGAATCATCCTGAAAGTATCCCCCAACCCCTGGTTCATGGAAAAAGTGTCTTCCATAAAACCATTCTCTGGTGCCAAGAAGGTTAGAGACTACTGCTGTAGACAGTGAAAATCCATTAAAGGATTTTATACAGCAGAGTGACAGTAGATCGTCTGTGTATAATAAAACCCAAGTTTCCTTTATTACCATTTTAGGAAATATTTATTGTGTGTCTGCTGCATGTTAGAAACTATGCTCCCAGCTTGAGATAAGACTAAACCCTTTGTCATTTCTTCTATTCCACATGATCAAGTTTGGATGGAACTTGCTGTGAAAGGTTTGAAGGTCAAGCAGAGGCATTTATACATAGTTTATGGATGGTTGGAGCCTTTATATTTAGTAGCAATCTGGTGACATAATTTAGGACAGTTCTTAGGGGAGGTGGCTCCTGAAGGCATGTCAGAGGACTGGACACCACAGAGAAAAGTTCTGGGCAGTCACTGTGCAGGTAGTTGCTGTTGTTGCTGTTTGGTCGCTAAGTCATGTCCGACTCTTTGTGACTCTGTGGACGGCCGCGCACCAGGCTTCCCTGTCCTTAACCATCTCTCAGAGCTTGCTCAGACTCATGTCCATTGAGTCAGTGATGCCATATAACCATCTCATCAAGTGCCGCCCCCTCTGTCGTGCAGTTAGTTAATTCTAGACAAATAAGATTCTGAAATGAGATGGTGATGCTAGAAAGGGGATGTAGAGGCAGACAGAGGGAGTAGGAAATGGCAAAGGTCTTCATGGAGCAATCAAGGGAGGGGAAAATGTCATAGATGGCTCCGAGGTTTGAGCTTGGATAATGAAATAAATGGTGCTGCCATTCATCCTGAAGGATGAGAGATCAGGAGAAAATTAATGACTTTAAGTCTGTGTACATTTTACATGAAGTAAAAGTGAAATCAGTCTCCATTTTTATCAGTCTCCATTTTGTCCATTAATTCTTTTTCTGTCATTCATAAAAATAGAAACAAGAACGGACTATTACTGTGATTTTTATTCCGGCAAAATTTCATATGAAAATGAGATTATTTATGTGTTTAAATAGTCTGTGAATATTACTTGGTCTCTTACCCTAGTGCCAGACAGACCACGTTGCACTGATTCAGTGGAGATGAGGCTTCCTCGTGGCTCTGCACAGGGTAGTTCATTGGGGCATTTGGACAAGTAGAGAGTCGAGTGGAGTGGAGTCCTATGATACCAAAAATTAGATAGATGAGGGAGGCCATGGGAGGAGCTCCCAAATCCAGTTTAGTATAGTTCAGGGAAGAAGTCCCAAAGAAAGCAACATCTAAGCTGAGGCTTAAAAAATGACAAGAAGGTGCTCTGGGAGGTTAGAGCAGGGAAGGCACTGTTTCAAGCAGAGGACAGTACATGTAATATTTCACAAACAATAGGAAGACTAGCACTTGTTACGTATCCACATCTTACCCATCCATGAGACTTTTCAGCTGATATCCAGCAAACATATATTCTAGACATACCATATTGCCAGCACTAGGTCTGAGAGTAGGAAGATGATTGAGATAAAACCCTACCTTACAGTGGGAGAACAGATACAGGGAATAGATGATTACAATATAGTGGAGCAATACTGCCAGGTACTGTGGAAACAGAAATACAGAATTCTAGCCCAACTTGGATGTCAAGAGAGAGATCCAGAAGGAGCTGGTATCTAATGAGTCTTGAACAATGAGAAAGATTTAGAGAAGGTGAAATAGTTGCAAACAATGAAAGAACTATAAACAATGGGCTATAAATTCAGTCTATTAAAAATATGTACTGTTCATGGGAAATAGATGGGGAAACAGTGGCTGACTTTATTTTTGGGGGCTCCAAAATCACTGCAGATGGTGATTGCAGCCATGAAATTAAAAGATGCTTACTCCTTAGAAGGAAAGTTATGACCAACCTAGATAGCATATTAAAAAGCAGAGACATTACTTTGCCAACAAAGGGTCATCTAGTCAAGGCTCTGGTTTTTCCAGTGGTCATGTATGGATGTGAGATTTGGACAGTGAAGAAAGCTGAGCGCCGAAGAATTAATGCTTTTGAACTGTGGTGTTGGAGAAGACTCTTGAGAGTCCCTTGGACTGCAAGGAGATCCAACCAGTCCATCCTAAAGGAGATCAGTCGTGGGTGTTCATTGGAAGGACTGATGCTGAAGCTGAAACTCCAATACTTTGGCCACCTGATGCGAAGAGTTGACTCATTGGAAAAGACCCTGATGCTGGGAAAGATTGAGGGCAGGAAGAGAAGGGGACGACAGCGGATGAGATGGCTGGATGGCATCACCAACTTGATGGACAGGGTTTGGGTAGACTCTGGGAGTTGGTGATGGACAGGGAGGCCTGGCGTGCTGCGACTCATGGTGTCACAAAGAGTTGGACACGACTGAGAGGCTGAACTGAACTGAACTGATTCAGGGAAAGAGTAGATGAAAGGTAAAAATAGTATCATATAGTGTATGGTTTTAACTATTAAATGCCTAATTTTTCTTTATATATTTAAAAAACTCTCAATGCCTATTTGCCAGATTAAATTGGTAGTATGTCTTAGACATCACTGGAATGACATTTTAGTCCATGGTAACAGATTTCTCTTTCATTTTCCAATTTCTGAGTAAGTTTATACTACAAAATAGAGTTTCTCTCAGTATTTTTCTTTAGATAGTTCAGTTTTTCTTTTTGTTTTATTTATGTACTTACTCTTTGTAACAGTTGAAATTGGACTCAGGAAAAGGGATTAAAACCTTTGATAGCAAAAATGAGAGACTATTACAGATCAGAAAAAGAAAGCAGACCATTATGGGAAAAAAAATATGATCTAGAAATTCCCATAAATATATTCTAAACACTGGGGAAAAAAACAAGAGGAAAAGACAAAACTGAGGAAAGGTGTTAAGAACCATGGGAAATGGAAAGCAAGTAGTTAGCAAAAAACTTTAGATAATTCCTATTCATTATATTTCCTAAAGGAGCAATAGCATAAAGTTACCCATCCAGTCCTCTCGGTTGGTTCATGTGGCATCATCAGATATGACAAAAAGCTGTGTGCCAGGCTGCGCCACTGCAGTCATTGGCAAATTCAGAAATTAGAATGGAGGTTTCTGTTAAATATTATACAGGAAAAATGAGGGAGGAGAACAGAATTGATTCCAGAGCTCTGGAGCGGGTTGCTAATTTGGATTTATGTAAAAGCTAACTACAAAAACGAGTCCAATTTGTTTTTCTATCAAAATACAATTTCGATTATTGAAAGGCTGTTTTGTTTTATCAACAGAAACTGTGCTTTCCTTGTTTCTGGCCCAGAAAACTGAAAGATCTTAATCCCCAGACCCGAACTCCTCACCATCTAAACACAAATCTGTCTCTTGTAAACGTAATGCAAGTAGAGCTCCGTGCTTCTGGGATTTCACACTTGGTTTTTGTGTAGAGAAGCTGGGCACTCCTTTAGGGAAAGGCCAGATTTCTTGTGGAACAGTCATGGGGGTACTGCGGGTTCCAGTATTAGGAATTTTGTGGGACTTCAGCCTTCTACTTGAATACACTAAGGGGGACAGAATGCTGGTCAGAAACGTGAGTGATGCCGCCTTCCTAGAGTAGCACCTTGTGGTGACAAAGGGGGCTTCTGTGATTGTATGGAGCAGGACTTGACTCTGGTTGGTTAAAAAAAAAGAAAGAAAGAAAAAAGCACCACACAGATTGTACTCAGAGAAAAAGCTGCCAGGAAAAGCTGCCATAAACTCAATGTAAATTAACTCCATAGCAACAATTTCATGTTTATGAAAAATAAAAATGAAAAATAAGAGCATTTGATAAAATTTCAGATTTCTTCGATCTTACTGATTTGGCTTTCAGATTGTCTTTCTTTACAAAAATAAAAAGTAGACATTCTTAGAAGCAAAATGGATTCATGACACATGGCACCACTAGTAGCAGCTCAGTGTTTTAATTTACAAGCTGTTTAGTATTTAATTGATTAATCATATTTTTGTTATTGACATGCTAAAGGCTTAAATACTATAGCACTTTACAGTTTACTGAACATATTACATCATTCGACTTAAGTTTCCCACCTATGAGGTAGGTGTTCTCCCCTTTTACAGGTGAGTAAGGTGAGGCTCAGAGACACTTAAGTGGCCCAGGCAAGATCAGAGTGGCTACTGCTAATAGTTAATAAGGACAGAGAACTTCCTAGGTATTCTTCAAAGTACATTGCACACAGTGACTGCTATAATCTTCACACCA